CTAATTTTTGTTTGTATTTTTAGTAGAGGCGGAGTTTCACCATGTTGGCCAGGCTGGTCTTGAACTCCTGTGCTCAACTGATCCGCCTACCTCGGCCTCCCAAAGTGCTGGGATTACAGGCATGAGTCACCACTCCTGGCCCCATACATATAGATTTAGAAACTCAATATTGTTTTGGTTTGGGGTTTTTTTGTTTGTTTCTTGAGATAGGGTCTTGCTCTGTTGTCCAGGCTGGAATGCAGTGGTGGCACAACCACAGCTCACTGCACTCTCCATCTCCTGGGCTCCCACCTCAGCCTCCCAAGTAATTGGGACTACAGGTATGTGCCACCATGCCCGGCTAATTTTTCTATTTTGGGTAGAGAGAAAATTTCACCATGTTACCCAAGGTGGTCTCAAACGCCTGGGCTCAAGCAGTCTGCCTGCCTCAGCCTCCCAAAGTGTTGAGATTACAGGCCTGAGCCTGTTAAGATACTTGTTTTCCTTAAATTGTTCTATAGATACAGTGCAGTTCCAATAAAAAATCCCAATAGGTTTTTTTGTTGAAATTGAAAGGCTGGTTCTAAATTCATGTGCAAATTCAGAGGTTCTAGAATAACAAAATCAATTTTGATAGACTGTGAAGTCTGGGGACTTATACTACCTGATTTGAAGGGTTATTATTACAGGAACGGTCATCAGGACAATGTGCTGGTGGTATAAGCATAAACGTATCAGTCAGTGGACTAAAATAAAGTGCCTAGAAAGGAGCCCACACATAGACAAGCTATAAAAGAAAAAAATGATAAATTGTACCTCATTAAAATTAAAAACTTTTATGCTTCTGCCAGGCACGGTGGCTCACGCCTATAATCCCAGCACTTTGGGAGGCTGAGGCAGGCAGATCACCAGGTCAGAAGTTTGAGACCATCCTGACTAACACAGTGAAACCCTGTCTCTACTAAAAATACAAAACATTAGCCAGGCATGGTGGCATGTGCCTCCCAGCTACTCCAGAGGCTGAGGCAGGAGAATCACTTGAATCTGGGAGGCGGAGGTTGCAGTGAGCCGAGATCGTACCACTGCACTCCAGCCTGGGCGACAGAGCAAGACTCCGTCTAAATAAATAAATAAATAAATACATAAATAAATATGCTTCTGAAGATACTATTAACTTAAAAAAATAAAAAAGGTCACATTGCCTGATTGTCTGAGGAAAAAAATAAAATAAAAATAATGAATTGGAAAAGGCCAGGC